ATTAGTGTTTCTCAAAATGAAGTTTGAATGCTCGCTTTGGCAGCCCATGTACTAAAACTGGATAATACAGAGATCAGCACGGCCCCTGCACAAGGAAGACACACAAATTCGTGAAGCAGTCCATATTTTTAAATGCCATGTTATAGATATTTTTTAAGCATCAACAAAAAAGTAAGTTTGAGAGAAAGCCAAAATTGATATTGCATCTGCCCCCCTGCCCTGCCCCAGGGACCCTCAGTACAAGGCAGAACAGATACTGTGGGGCCTGAACAGGCTGCCAGAGTTTGGGGAAACTCATGACCTGTAGGTAATACTCAGACGGGGGAAATGCAAGAAAAATGTATGTATTATATCCTGAAAGAAGACATGAAAAGTGGGAGCTTGGCAACATTAAACAGATGAGATAGAGTTTAGGACAGGAGAGGAAACATAAAATTAAAAAAGAAATGTACCTAAGGGTGACATGAAATTTAGAGTTGTTGGGTTTTTTTGTTTGTTTGTTTGTTTTTAATATTCCCACAAAATAATGGGATGGAGGAGGATAGATGAAACAAGGTTGGCAAAATGTGGACAAATGTTCAAGATGGATAATGAAAGCTCCTTATAATTCTCTCTACTTTTGTGTGTATTTGAAATTTTTCCACAATAAAAAAGTTAAAAAGAAAGACAGAAAGGAACATAGCCACAGCACTCGAAGGAGTAATGAAAAATAAAAAGGAACACATGAACACTTCAGCCTGCTAAAGGCATCTACTGAACAAAGGAAGAGGTTACCGGTTACAGGAGCTTACAATGCAAATACTGTTTTGGTCTCAGGGAATTAGATCAAGTCACTCTTACCTGTGGGTTCCAGAATACAAACAAGATAATCCATTGACCCTAAAAAAGAAAAATTCCCATATTCTCACATTTAGGGTTGCTATGCAATATTTGTGGAGCCCTAGTGGCACAGTGGTTAAGAGCTTGGTTGCTAACCAAAACGTCAGCAGTTAGAATCCACTAGCCACTCCTTGGAGACCCTATGCGACAGTTCTATTCTGTCCTATAAGGTTGCTATGAGTCGGGATCGACTAGAAGGCAATGGGTTTGGTCTTTTTTTTTTTTTTGGTAATGCAATATTTGGGACATACTTATACTAAAAATATGTTCATTGTTTATCTGAAATTCAAATTTAATTGGTTTTCCTGTATTTTATTTGCATCCTACCTATATTCTATTATCCAACTAAAATTTGACACCAAAGGTTTATCTGAGTATGTTTTCCACCACAATCCATGTCTCTCCCTCTCCTTTCTGCTCATCCTCTGTCTATTGCCCCTCTTCCTTGCCAATAAATTTTCACTTCTCTTTTCTTTCCTGGTTTTTAAACTACCTTATAGTTAATTTTATAGTCCCTGGGTTGTACAACCAGTGAACACACTCGACTACTAACTGAAAAGTTGGAGGCTTGAGTTCACCAATAGGCACCTCAAAGGAAAGTCCTAGTGATCCACTTGGGAAAAACCAGACATTGAAAACCCTACGGAGCACAATTCTGCTCTGACACACACAGGGCTGCCATGAGTCGGAATCAACTCCATGGTAACTGGTATGGTTAATTTATAACCATATAGTAGTGTCTTAGTGGTAGAATTTTCACCTTCCATACAGGAGACCGGGGTTCAACTCCCAGCCAATGCACCTCATGTGCAGCCATCACCTGTCCCTCAGTGGAGGCTTGTGTGTAGCTACTAAGCTGAACAGGTTTCAGCGGAGCTTCCAGACTAAGATGGACTAGGAAGAAAGGCCTGGAAATCTACTTCCCAAAAATTAGTCAGTGAAAACCCTGTGGATCACAAGAGTCCAATATGCAGCTAATCAATGGGGAAAGCACAGGACTGGATAGCATTTAGTTCTGTTGTACATGGAGCCATTGCCATGAGTCTGGGCCAATTCAAAGGCAACTAACAACACGGTTAATTTCCTCCATAGTAAATCTACTTAACTCGTGCAAATCAACGGAACATTGTCTCTAAATGACATCAGTTTGTGACAAACCTAGATCCAAAACAATTTCATCAACTTAACAGCTCATTGTTGTTGGCATTTTCTGAATAACTACACTTCTTTCCAGTACTGGAAATTCAGAAGCCAAGAATTTAGGAAGATCAAGTAAGAAAATGAAAGAACAGGAAAGAGAGGCAATCTGGCCTTGAATCCTCCCAACACCCACCAGAGAGAGGTGGGTATTTTCGGTCTAGCTGTTTACACCTTGAGAAGTGAATGTAGATAATTAGTCATTTTTTAAAAGAAAAAATTTATTTTGCAAAAGGAAATGTTTTAAAAAATAAAGGCAGGAGACACTAGAATAAAAGGTATTAATGCACAGAGCACCTTTGCTAACATTTTATAAAAACACAGAGTTTCACAAGTGTCCTAATTAGTCCTCAACCCCCGGAGGTGGTAGGTGGTATGATCTGATTTACAAAGAGAGAAACAAGTTCAGCAGGGCGAAGGGACTAAGTGCAATTCTGATGTGAGCTTTAGAATGCAAGGAAACATAGCTCTGGGTATGGAAAGAAGGGCCCTGGCCTCACTGAACCTCAGTACTGGCTAGAGTAATGTGATATCAGGATGCCCCAGCTAGGGAAGTTTTGCTTGCAGGTGACAGAGAACACAACAAACAGGAAATTTATTAGGTCTCATAACTGAAAAGCCCAGTTGTCCTAGCTTCTAGCATGACTTGTTCCAGGGGCTGAAATGATGTCACCAGGTCTTGGGTTTTTTCTCTCTCTGCTTCTCAGCTCCAACTTCCACTTGATTGACAGTTCCATCCTCAGAACAGACTCTTACAGTTCTAAGTTAGCCAGAAAGCTCCAGCTTTATGTACTTTCAGATTTAAGGCCTGCAGAAAATAAATGAACCAAAGAAGGATCCCTTTACCAAAAGATGCAGAGAAAGTCCCTTTGAGAAGCATTGATTATGCTTGGGTTGTAATTCTATCCTTTAACTAATCGCTGTAGAGAGAAATGCAGTTGTCTGACTGGCTTGGGCTCTGAGCCAAGAATAGACTACCCCAAAGCATGTGGTCTGAAATAGGGTAAACTCCTCAGGTGACTGCCTCCTGCCTATGGTCAAGCCTTTGGATTCCGAGAAGCAGGACAAGTAACTGGAATTGCTAATACCACCAGAGTTCTGAGGTCTCTCCTGGCCCTCTCCCAGTGGGGCAGTCTACCACCTGTATACAGGGAAAAGAAAAACTAACTCTCTGGACTCCCTTCAGACGAGTCAGTACATGTTTGTATCAGGTCCTGCTCCTCAGGAACAAACTTAGAGATGAGGCAGCATGAGATCATCAAGGGAAAATTCTGGTGACATCAAGAAGTGGCACGTCCAAAATGAGCCATGAGTGTTCTTTGAACCCAAGCTGCAGTGTGCTGTCAGGTGCCCTGACCAAGAACTAAATGGAAAACAAAACAGGATGAGATAAAATCCAGAGCTTACATAAGAAAGCCCAGGTACTTACTACTAACATTGAGGGGCCAACCTGGGCTATGTGATTAGCTTTTCAATTCCCTAAGCAGGTAATATTAACCTATGGCTGCCAAAGGATTATGGGCAAAATCCAAGCTTTGTTTCCATCACCTTCTCGGATGTCTTTCTGCAATTCAACTCTATGATGACTAAAAACAAACCAGTTGCTATAGAGTCTAGTCCAACTCATGGTGACCCCGTGTGTGTCAGAATAGAACTGTGCACCATAGGGTTTTCAATGGTTGATATTTCAGAATTAGATTGGCAGGTCTTTCTTCTGAGGTGCCTCTTGAGTCTTCTGAGGTGGACTCAAACCATCAACCTTTCAGTTAGTAGCCAAGTACTTATCCATTTGTGCCACTCAAATCCAGTGAGTGGGTGTAGTCTATATGTATTGTTTTTAATCCATTTAAGATCTATTCCCCCTTTTTTCTGGTGAAAGCATCTGATTTTTCTTTAGATAGCCATCCATTCTCAATCTTAATGTGGCTTAAATGGGGCGTAACCAACCTCCCAGCTCTAAAAATGGAAACAGAATGAAGTCTCGGCCAAACCTGAGAATTCCATGGCTACTGCCACAATGACTGGTTCAGAAACAAGCCAATGTGACTCAATCACAAGGCTTTGGCTGGAACTATCCAGAAGACTAACTTCCTTTTGTTATGGGGCTGCTAAGAGGTAAGGAGTTTAACTTGCTCAACTTGCCATCACTTGGAGAGAACCTTCCAGAGAATAATGTTAACACAGAGAAAAGCAGACCCAAGAAAAGGAGAGAAACTGATTTTCATAGCATGACTTGGGCACCTGGATCCAGTCATGTTTGAAGCCAATATGAAACCTAGATTTTTCCGTTAAATTCCTTTTTGGAATTTAAAGTTTGAGTTGGGTTTCTGTCATTGCAACCAAAAGAGGCCCAAGGGGAAGCACTGCTAGCCATACACACCTTTGTGATAATTAGAAAGAATACCCACCCTAGGCTGGCACAGCCCTGTGGGTTTAAGGCTCAGCAAATCAATGGCACACTTGTTCACATTAGAAAAAGCCTTTCTTTCCTTTAGGCATATGCAGTCCAAACCAGGGAGTTCTACTTGGCTAGCTGTGTGGGGGCTGGATTTTAGCCACTACTCATCCCCCAGCTAGGCAGTTTTGCACAATGTGCTATATATGGCAAGCATGAGCCTGGTTAACATATGGAGATTTTTAACTTATTAACTCAAATTAATCTCATTTTGGTAAAAGCATTGGTTGTATTGGGACATGTTAGACTTGCCAGGTTAGAAACAGGCAATAATTGGATGGTCAAATGCACAGGTTATTAAGTCACACAGTATGCAGAGGCGTAGGGGGAGGGGGGCAGAAGGGGGCACTTGCCCCCAGGTGCAAATCCAAGGGGGCACCAGACACATATGTAGCGACAGGGTGCAAAATGACATTCTAGGTGCCACAAATATGAAAGGCTCCTGACTGAGGCAGCTGGACAAGAAAGGGGAAGGCATTTCTGCTGATGCATCGCTGCTATCCCTTATGTGTGGGTCAAAAACCAAACCAAAAAACCAAATCTATTGCCGTCCAGTAGATTCTGACTCGTAGCGACCCTGTAGGACAGAGTAGAACTGC